ACATGAAACATGGAAGCTCAGATTTGGCCCATGGGCCACGAGTTTGACATGAGTGATTTAGAGCATCATTTAGAGTTCTTTCATTGAAAATAAGCATAGTGGGAAAGAGTTTCTAGAAAAAAGGGTGACATCAGGTCACACCTTCAAGAATTATCTCGCTCTCTTGAGGAAACCGGCTTTGAGCTGATGGATGATATGACTGCCAAGTGAATATGATGCAAAATTATAGCTTCAGCTGCCTAGACTTCATGTTTATCAAACTCGAAAAACAATGAAGATAAAACTAATGACTAATCATAATTCTAACAGGATTTTGGAGCCTACAAACATAAAAAAGCTCTTGAAACCATGTGTTACAATGAAAGGTTTGTTTTGAAATTTGATCATAGGTTTGCAATGCTCGAATCATGTAAATGTTACTGAAAATTAAATGGAAAAGAAAGGAAGAAATGCAATGAATCAGTGTTGTAATAATTTGGGAAAGTCTGAATCAAATGTGAACGACTACGTGGAACTCTGGAGAATCCATGTCAAATAAATTCTCTGAAAATTACTTTGTTTTGAAATGTTAAGCTGGAGGATCTGAGAACGAAGATGTAACAGTGAAACCACAAGAAGGCATTACATCATTAGACTCAGGACAATCATCAAACAACATCAGATGTTGGGTGTTAAGAGAAAATAATTTAAAAAATTAAGCTAGAACCATGTTGTTAGGCAATGATGCAGCCTTTCCAAGGAAAGTTTCTGTTAAGGCCTGACATGCGGCTCTAAAATGCTGATCCTGGTAAGACTAGGAGATGTGTGTAGTTAATACTATTAAGACCTGCTAAAGAAGTGCTTAAGGTTTCACTATAAAATTCCTGTGTTACACAGAAGCCTGTTACACTTGTAAAATTCCTCAAGCAGATGAGATTGCCATGGATAATTGGTTAAGTGTGAAATGGCTAAAAACATAAAGGACAAGACTGTAAATAGGTAAAAGCCTTTAAGAATTTTATGTATGATGATGTAGCACTATGGAAAACTATGTGATTAGGGAGACTGTGATTATGATGAATGTTACATGTAAACCAGTTTAGAAGGCTTATATTCTTATATGTATTACTTATTGCCAAGCCTATTAAAGATCAGAATAGAGGTAACATCACTGTCAACGTCCTGATATGTGATTACCTAATATAACAAGCCTTATATGCAATTTAATGGAATAATACTGCATTTCTTTGATTCTTAGCCACACTTTTTCCCTATATAAACATCTCTAAAAATGGGATGTGTCTTAGAATCGCAGGTATATCTTACGTTGTTGTTTTTTTTGTTGGTGGTACAGTAGTATAGAAATTAGGGTGCATCTTACAAGTAATGGCATCATTGTTAAAGAGATACGGTAATGTCTTACAGCTAATATCATGGAATATAACTAGGCTGCCCAGAAAATGCTTTATCTGTGGCTCTCCCTGAAGGAAATATGTGTGTGTGTATGTATCAACTGGTATTTATACTATCCATAGTGTCTGTACCTTCCCATATAAATATCCTGAAACTCCAAGACTTGAACATATTTGAATGGGATGTGGATGTTTATTTATTTCTAACAGGAGCGGGGTGCAGGGAGCATACAACTCCCTTGCTGAACCAGCTCCACTGGCTGCCGATATGCTACCGGGCTCAATTCAAAGTGCTGGCATTGGCCTTTAAAGCCCTAAACGGTTCTGGCCCAACTTATCTATCCGAACGTATCTCAGCCTATCAGCCCACCAGGACCCTAAGATCTTCCGGAGAGTCCCTTCTCTCTATCCCTCCAGCTTCAGAAGTGCGGCTGGCGGGAACGAGAGATAGGGCCTTCTCTGTGGTGGCCCCCCGGCTTTGGAACACCCTCCCTATAGAGGTACGATTAGCCTCTTCGCTGATGGTGTTTAGGAAGAGACTCAAAACATGGCTGTTCAAACAAGCATTCGGCTAATCTGTGGCAATTCGAATATTGATGACTAAGGACAGGAAACATGGACAACGAATTCTGGATTGCGATTTCAACTCGAGATATATGGGATTATTATTGGTGGCCCAATAATTTGTTATTGAATTTGTTATTATATGTGTATATGTTTTTAAATTGTAGATTGCTTTAACTGCTGTAAACCGCAATGAGTCGCCGTTCTAGGCTGAGATATTAGCGGTATACAAGTGTATCAAATAAATAAATAAATAAATATTTGTTTGTTTATTTATTTGCTATACTTGTATACCTCCCCTCTCAGCCCAGAGGCGACTCGAGGCGGTTTACATTTGGCAATCAATGCCCCACAAGATAAAATACAGTCAAAAACAATTACATATAGTAAAAACCATATAAAAACAATAAACAATAAAAATCATAAAATACAGTTCTCAGCATCTCATCATTAAAATCATTTTCCATTGCTTCGTTCCATGAGTCTCAATTAATCAGTTATACTGCGTCTGCAAATGCCTGTTCGAACAGCCAGGTCTTAACTCTCTTTTGAAATGTCAGGAGGGGGCCGATCTAATGTCCCTAGGGAGGGCGTTCCATAGCCGGGAGGCCACCAGTGAGAAGGCTGTCTCTCGTTCCCGCCAATCAGATCTGCGAAGAAGGTGGGACCAAGAGCAGGGCCTCTCCAGACGATCTTAACCACCTAGATGGTTCATAGGAAGAGATGCATTCAGACCGGTAAACTAGGCCAAAACCGTTTAGGGCTTAATTTGACCTGTCTTGTTTAGCCAAGTTGGATGACCAGAAGTTGATAAAGGTGATCCCAGTCAGGACCCGGAATTAACAGACAGTGACAAGGACCCTCAATCCCTCGGTCTAATAGATCAGATTGAGAAACCATGCCTTTTTCAGACAGATGGAATTGCACTTAAATCACAATTTCTTTAAATATTTATTCTGAGCTGTTGAGAACATACCAGAACTATTCCAAAATCTAGTTTCCTTAACTAAAATTTAGAAAGCAGGAAAGGAACTCCCAAAGATAACTGTTTTATATGTGCCACAGCCTGTGACAATTGGCTGGATAATCAAATGCCCATGTAAACTGCCTTTTCTATAAAAACCTAGAGCGAAGACAGGAAGACATAGTCCCTAGGATTATTTAAGATTAATTTAAGAGATGTATCAAGACACAAGAAGTACCAGATTACAGCCAAAAGAGATGTTGAAAGAGACCACTAAGGCTCACTGATGCAGGATGTCCATCCCTTTGAGACGATGGAGAGACAAAAAACAGATGTGGTGAGTAGGGAAGCATTTTAAGATCTTCCAGTAGCTGTTTAGGGATACCTAATTACTGTATGGCTAGGATAGATATATATGATTATACAGTATAAACAAGGGCTATTCAAACATTGCTTGAGGCGATTGCCCCTTTCAATAATAGATGTTATTGGATTATGAATGGTTTGAATACTAACATGAAACTCCAGATGAACTGTCACACACATACTGTCTTTATTAATGTTGACTTTCTGTTGAAAGGTGCAATAGCTCACAGAATAGGGCTTCACAGTCACCTACGGACCCACCACCAGGACACCGAACTTGGAGGACCATCATCCTTGGACTACAAGGAATTACCTAAGTAAGTAAGTAAGCTCACAGACCATCCCCGATCTAACAGCTCAAGCCAAAGCCTATAAACTAAATACAAGAAGCCCCAAGTTACAAACATCCAACTTACAAACAACTCATAGCTAAAAACAGATGTGAGACAACAGGAAGTGAGAGAAGTTTACCCCTAGGAAGGGAAATTCATTCCCGAAAGAGTCACCATGAGAAAAAGGTATCTCCACTGAAGCTTTCTTGGCAATCCTTGTTTCACAACAAGCCAAATTTGTTAAAATTCGATTCTCACAGGGACAGAAAGTGAGGTGAAAACATCTGAACAGGGACAGACAACAAAACAAACACCAACTCCTACTATTACTATAATACTTTATTTTTATATCCTGCCACTATCTCCCTGAAGAGACTCGGGGCGGCTTACATGGGGACCAAGCCCAACATATAGCAAAATTTACCATCTAAATCCGGGGAGAGGCGGATGAGCTCCCTCTACCAGCTCCAGCTCCTCATGTGGGGACATGAGAGAAGCCTCCCACAAGGATGATAAAACATCAAATCATCCGGGCGTCCCCAGGGCAACGTCCTTGCAGACAGCCAATTCTCTCACACCAGAAGTGACTTGCAGATTCTCAAGTCTCTCCTGACACAGCAAAAAAACAAACAAACAAACATCTAAAACACAGGTCAAAACATAATGACACTGTTAAAAACATAATAACATATAATATAACAAACAATATAATCAAAACAATTGTAAACGGCAAAATATAACAGGAATATGGTGGCATAATCAGATTAGAGAGAGCAGGGCATAGGCTTGTGCAAAAACCAAATATAGGATGGGCTGGTGGTAAAGTGCCAAATACAACTTTATTAGTATGCTATCTTCCCTATGCTACCCTAAATAAATAAATGTGTGTGTGTGTGTGTGTGTGTGTATGTATGTGTATATATATGTGTGTGCGTGTGTGGCTGGAGTTACACTTAAAAATATACCTGTTCCGATTTACAAACAAATTCAAGCTAAGAGCAAATCTACAGAACCTATTTTGTTCATAACTTGGGGACTGCCTGTATTGAGGTTCTAGGAATCATTATAAATTTTCCTCTACTTGGTTGAAAACCATTTTCTGTACTGGTTGGGAATGGTGAGATTCTGGGATTCAAAATATTTGCATAGGTGCAGAGCTGATTAGGATAGCTTGCCATTTCAAGAACCAGTTTTGTCCTTGCTGAAAATGTTAACTATTTATGAATTTATGCAGTATTGTATTTACTCAAATCTAGTGCACCATTGAATCTAATGTGCACATCCATTTTCAAAACCCTGAAGCCAAAAAAAGTATCTGTTGGCGAACCCTATCTATAAGCACTGGAAGAAAATGATATGTAAAAAAACCCCTCATAACACAGATAGAATGAACAAATATTTTTATTTAACGTTTATTAAGTTATACTATCTTATCTTAGGCAGTATTGAACAGGACTTGGATTTACCCTTCTGTGTCACAAAATTTAATATTTTGAGTCATTTTCTTCAAGTGAAATATATTTATTTCTTTTATTTATTTATGATATTTCTATCCCGCCTTTCTCCACAACGTGGACCCAAGCAGAATACAAACATTAAAATCCTTCAACCAGGAGAACAAAAAAAAAAAGCCATGATAATAGCAATCAACAAAATCCCACATTTCAGTTAAGACCATTACCTCCTCCCCCAAGTATCCCTCTTCCAACTCCTGCCATGGCTCAATGACTCTAAAGGATACACTAAACGTGAATCTTATAAAAATCATATCAACAAAATATGCATTAAGTTAAAACATCTTGGATAATTCAGAAATTTTGTCTTCTCTTGCAGACATGTAGGTGTCCACAACTGTGAGCAGATTTTCGTGGTATTTCCCCAAGCCGGACCGCAACCTAGCATAAATCTCCTAGAGTGGATGGGGGTAAAATTAAATATTAGTAAAAAAAATACATAAAGGAGGTGTAAGTATCCTTTTGCTAAGAACGTGTCATTTTTTTAAAATAGCAAAAACCTTTATTTCTGAAACATACTAAAATCACTGATTATATTTTCTTTGTACTAATAACCAAGGCTAGCAAGTACCTGCTCTTCCTGGCAATGTTGTCATGAAATTTTATAAAACTACCAGCCTCACATCACCCATAATAAATGTATTTGACCCATGTGATATACAACAAAATTAAAGGATAGTTACTACCATAATAGCAGCAACTTTAACATTATATCAAGCTGCTGTTGGTGGTATCACACCAGGCTTTTAAATCCAAGAACATACTCATAAGAAACACAATATTCTATTTATTTTTATCATCAAGATCTAGTAGGTTACCTTCCTTGGAAATTGCACACAGGGAACTAGGTATACAATAAACCCTTACATTATGGTTTGGTATGTGTTCAAAGTGATGTGTTTGTGCATGCATATGCTGGCACAGCGGGTTAAACCACGGAGCTGCTGAACTTGCTGACCAAAAGGTTGGCGGTTCAAATCCAGGGAGCAGGGTGAGCCCCTGCTGTTAGGTCCAGCTTCTGCCAACTTAGCAGTTTGAAAACATGCAAATGTGAGTAGATCAATAGGTACCGTCTGCAGGAAGGTGAACGGTGCTCCATGCAGTCATGCTGGTCACATGACCTTGGAGGTGTCTATGGACAATGCTGGCTCTTCAGCTTAGAAATGGAGATGAGCACACACCCTCTCCCCTGAGTTGGACACAACTAGACTTAATGTCAGGAGGAAACTTTACTATAGTGAGATAACATAGTTTCAAGATAAAGGGATGTTTTACTTTTTTTGCTTCATATAATCCGAACAGATCTTCAAAAAAGAACTAGGCAGCTATCTGCTGGGAATGTGATTGGACCCAATGGTCATGGGCCCCCTTCCAACTCAATGATTCTGTGAATCTTATAATGTTTCGGATTTCTGAGCAAAAGGCACATTATGATGAAAGTCAATCAGGTTTCTTTAAAGTTTCTAAGCTTATCCAGCACGATGGAGCGGCAGGTACTAATAAGCATTTACTCACCTGAGCTTTTATCTTCTCTTTTTCAGCATTGTCATTTAGCTCCTGAGTAGCAGCTTTGAAACACATGATTTCTGCCTGAGTTCTTGACATTTTTTCCCAGACAGCACTTCTTTTTTCCTGTAATTTGCTGCAATCCCTAGAATATAATCACATATAATACTTTAAAATTGTGACAGAAAAGAAACATGCCACTACCTTTATTGGTGCCCATTGTTTTTAGAGCTTCAAAAGAAGCAATTTATACACAGATGTGCTAAAACTCAGTTATTGCATTCCAAACAGACTTAACTGAAGTTGCACTCAGGTCTTCCATAGTAGTTTCTGCTTAAAAATTCAAAAATATTACAGTTTTCCTGGACAAATGCGTTATTTTGGTGATAAAGAAGGAAAGGTAAACTTTTTGCAATCTTTTTCTGCTACTCGAGAAGGCAGGGATAAACACTTAATGAGGTTTGAAAGCCTTTCTTTTTAGAAGAAAATACCATCCCAGTTTCAGGATAAGGGCACCTAACAAAAGAACCCTAACTAGAAACATGAAATAAGACAAGCATAATTAGTCAAAAATAAAAATAAGCTATTCACTATCATAGCAAGGAAAAACACTTCATTCATGACAAAAAGAAGGCATGGACTTCACAGTCAGCCCAATTTTCCTTTCTCTTGCAGTAATAATATAATAAAACTTTATTTATATCCTGCTCTATCTGCCCGAGGGGGACTTAGGGTGGTTTCCAAATAACATCACTGAAACATACAAAGTAAACAGCATAACATAAAATTATCACAATAACACATGTATATTAAAAATAATCCTGCCTGTTCATAGCAATTAAAAAGCCGGGCCAAGGCTACTGCAAACTCAAAATATGAAGGGGCTGGGAATTAAGTACAGTAGATAAATGCAAACAAGAGTGAGATATGCCTCTGTTTTTTCAGGCCAATTGTTTTAGTAGAGCCTGTAAGTAACGTTGCAAGCAGTAGTATGGGTGCCAGGAGGGGAAAAGGGGTTACTCGTGAGCAGGAGTCTGATGAGGAACAACAGAGGAAAAGGATTCGGGATATACTTATGGCACCTACAGATGAGGACTCATTTGAGGGGTTCTCTGGGGATGAAGGGTCAATGAGTGAAGGAGAGAAGGGAGATGCAATGGATGGGAATAGAGGAAAAAAGAGGGTTACTCGGGAGCAGGAATCGGATGAGGAGCTTACGGCACCTACAGATGAGGAATCATTTGAGGGTTTCTCTGGGGATGATGGGTCACAGAGTGGGGAAAACGGGGATGACACTGTGGATTGGACTAAAGTAAAGGAAGTGCAAGCTATTTGTGCGGAGCCAACATCTAGTGATACATTTATGGGATTCTCTGGAAGTGAAGACTGGCAATCAGGGAATACAACTGAGTCTTGGGGATCTAAGTCTTGACAGAAGATGGAGAAAATGGAGGGATGGGCGTAGGACTTCACGTGAAGAGTTGGGAGCAGCTGCAAGGGATGATCATGGGACGGTGGTCAGTTCATCTTCTGATGATGATGATGTGTAATAAAAGTGGGTTCAGGAATGGGGGATCTTTGCAGAAGGCAAGGTGTTGGTATACGTTCGTGCATTGGGTACTGTCTGGACTTGTCGCTGCCTGTTCCGTGTTCGGCATTGGGTTTGGGATCTGCAGGTTGCTGCTCCTGTTCGTGTGTGCTTTCGACTCGGCTTGGATTCTCGTGAGTGTGGATTTCTCCCTTCCTTAACCTTGGACCAGCTTGACTACGACACTGCTTCTGTGGACTTTGGAACTTTGCTACTTCTGATTCTGCTTGCTACGACCCTGGACTTCGCTTGACTTCGCTTTCTTTCCTGCGGCTTCATTGCTTTGTTAACCATTTACATGCTGTGCCTTTTTGTGTGACTTCGGAGTATTGTGTTTGATTCGGTTCTTTTTTCCAGATAATCCGGATTATACTTTGGTTAACCTTTTCAAACCAGGACTGGTTTTACCTTTGAGTTTTGACCAGAGGCATTGAGTTAAGTGTCTCTGAGGCTTTTGCTTTGCTTTAATAAACTCTGTTTTGGAACTAACTCTGAGTCTGGCCCTTTAAGGCGTCTGTGATTCCGACACTAATGGTGTAAATATCTGGCAATGCTTGAAGCACAAGAACACGTGTCTCACCTAAGCACAAACGACAATGGGAATACTCATCGTTCCCAGGGATCTTACCCTCACTGCCCAAGCATTTCTTTTGAAATGGATGACACTGACAATTAGATGGATCATTAAGATCCAGGAATAATACTGAACACAAGATCCGATTGTCAAAGTCATGAATCCCAAAAAATTAATGAAGAAAAATATCAATAAGAGCCAAGGTTTCTATGCACTGCTGCTGAGGTGGACAAAAAGTGAAGCTATGGTAGTGCCCAACTTTTTTATGTCACAATGGAAAGTGGGTGAGAGGTATCACCAAAAAGTATCTCTTAAAGCTCTAGGTTCCAACATGCATTGCACAGGTTCAGCAACTCCCAATGCTGTGAGTAACAAAGACCACGAAAAAAAACCTGGTTCTTCTCCACTGGGTCTTCTCCAGCCTATAATCCCTTGAAATACCTGGACTGCCATGTTTCTTACCTTTTTCTTACAGAAAAGTAAACTTTAGTCTCAACCAGAATGTGGTTCAAGGATTCCCTAAAAGGACTGTTATCCAGAAAGGGATGAACTTGAGATTCTACTTGGAGCTTGAGTCCACATTCCAGTTTTTGAACCATACCTCTACAGATGCCAGCTAAACACTGGAACTAAACTGGATAGTGTCTACAGTGCAAAGGCTATCACCTTCATCAGTTCGTTCATTATCTGTCTCAGTTTCATCTCATTGTTATAAATTCCCTTTACCATCTTCCTGGTTCACAGATTCTCTGGATATGATGAAAATTGAGGTTGCAGCTTTAAGGAGTCCCCGGTTTCAATATCTGCGGTAATCTTTGTCAACATTATTAAAATAACTGGCCAAAGTTATAAGAATTGACAAGTGACCATGTAAGAGGAGAAATTGGGTTTGTATTTGGTTTTATTGATTTTATTGATTTTATGGTTATAATGTATATTTGTTGTTAACTGTGTATTGATGTAATTTTGTGTATGATTGTTTTAGGATGCAGGCATCGAATTGTGCCTTTGCTTTTGTAAGCCGCCCTGACTCCCCTTCGGGGTGAGAAGGGCGGGGTAAAAGAACCCCAAATAAATAAATAAATAAATAAATATATATATTTTTTGCATGTTTCAGATTTGGCCTGTTGGGGTCAGGCTTGCTCCACGCTTCTCTTACTACCAGCAGCCCAATTTCTTCTTTCTTCGTCCAAATGCACAATTTTTCCCTTCTCAACCAGCTCAATTCCTCCTTTGTCTAAGTTTTGGCCACATTTTTCATGATCCCCACCATTCACCTATGTGATACCAACTTTAAGCTTTGCTCTAGAGCAGCAGAACATCAGCTTGCTTCATCTTCAATATCCCTTCAAATGGCGATCGTGTTACATAATACCAACTTTAAGCTTTGCTCTAGAGCAGCAGAACACCAGTTTGCTTCTTCAATATCCCTTCAAATGGCTATCATGTTATCTCTTAATCTTCTCTTCACTAAGTTACACATACCCTGCTCCCTAAGTCGCTCCTCATACAACATGGTTTCCAGAACTTTGACCACTTTCGTCACTGTCCTCCAGACACATTCAGTTTCTCAATATCCTTCTTGAACTATGATGCTCAGAAATGAACACAGTATTCCAGGTGAGGCCTGAACAAACATCAAAAAGTTTTCCTTTCCTACCCAATTGGAATGAGTGAAAGAAACAACTCACCCAAAGGATATTCATTCCTCTGTTCCCTATTGGAAAAGAGTAATTTGCACCCAAATTCACTGAAAAACTAAAGGATTTAAATATGAGTTTGAAAAAATATTTTCTATACCTGTCACCTTTTTCTGATCTATTTGATTAATTCTTTCTATCATCTCAGCATAAAGCACCACCATCTGTTGCTTTAAAAAAAAAACCCTCATGTTGTAAATGGCATCAAAGAGGAGGAAAAAGAATGCATTGAGCAAATTCTGTTTCTCTTTTGGACTGAGAAATGATGGGACATTCTTTCCTCATTTTCTAATAGGCCTCGAAGTGTTTAATAGTCAGATGTGGTAGAGAAGGTATGAAAGATTAAGGCAAGAAAAGTAGGCTTTTGTTCAAAGTCTTTGCCAAGATGTGACTTTCTCAACAATGCTGAAAGTATGAAGTGGCATTAAACTAAAAATACTGAAACTGACATTGATACAATAGTATTAACCACCTCTCAATAATAAAACCTGCATCAGTTAACCCAGTGATTCCCTGGTTTTATTAACCAGGGGCTACTGTCCAAAATTAGTATCAAAAGGGTTAAGAATCAATTTTTGGTCAACTTTAGATTCAGTTTGGTTATTGGGGGAGCTGATTCAGAAACTTGCATTAGATAGATCATATCAACTCTAGTTTCTGATACAGAACACATGCCATCCAGTGGTCGCCATACAGAAAACTATATTTAATAAGCCTCGGTACTATAAGAGGGTTTTGCAAGACCAATCACTCTGGTTGCAACGGTGTAGTGAGGCCACTGACCACAAGTTGGGAACCACTGTGTTAACCAATATACTTACTTTCAATATATGCTTTCTTTAAGATGCTAGTTTTAAAGTATATTAAGACATTTGAACAGACCAGATAGGATAAAAATAAATTTTAGACATTCATACTCTGTTATTGCCTGCTTGCGTTGCTCGGTATCTTCACGTATTCTGTTAAGTTTGATTTTGAGAGTGTTGACTTTTTCCCTTTTAAGAGTAACCATCCTTTTCAAAGACATTTCATCGGTCTTGCCATTCTTTAATGCACTCTGGCTATTCTCTATTTGATCCTGTAGTATTCGAATCTGGAATGAGAATATTTGGAGAGAAAATCAAGAATTAATTATAGCCATTTTCTCTATCAATACAGTTTAAACAAAATGCTACAAAGCAATCAAACACAAAGTACTGAAAATATTAAATTGTTCTGTGAATGAGATTCACAAAACGAAAAGGAATGCTTATATAGGAGATCCCTAGCCTATGAACAAGAAGAGTTTGGTAGGTTTGTTCTTAAGTTGAATATGTATGTAAATTGAAAGCAGGGGTCCTCAAACGTTTTAAACAGAGGGCCAAGTCACAGGCCCTCAAACTGTTGGAGGGCCGGATTATAATTTGAAAAAAACATGAATGAGTTGCTATGCACACTGTACATATCTTATTTGTAGTGCAAAAAAAACTTAAAAACAATACAATAATACAATAATTAAAATGAAGAACAATGTTAACAAATACAAACTTAGTATTTCAATGAGAAGTGTGGGCCTACTTTTGGCTGATGAGATAGGATTGTTGTTGTTGTTGTGTGCTTTCAAGTTGTTTCAGACTTAGGTTGACCCTGAGCGAGGGTCAGGTAAATGACCTTGGAGGGCTGCATCCGGCCCCCGGGCCTTAGATTGAGTACCCCTGTTTTAAAGTGTTATTCCAGCTATTTTTTTTAAGTTTTAGATAGGAGAAGGAAGAGCAAACATTCCTGTAATGTTGGCTTTGGCTGCCTGTGGCCGTTCAGAAAATTTCACTTCACTTTCTGGGCCAATTGGATTTTGAAAACTTTGGCTTGTTGCAGAAACAAGGATTGGCGAGAAAGCTTCAGTTGAGACCCTTTTCCCATGATAACTCTTTCAGGAGTTAGTTTCCCTTCAGAGGAGTAGATTTTTCTCACTTCTGGTAGTCTCACCCCTGTTAAGTATGAGTCATTTGTAAATAGGATGGTTGTAACTTGGGGACTGCCTGCATTAATGCAAGAGGCATCCTTGCACAGAGGATAGCCTATAGGCTTCCATCCTTCAGCTTCTTTTTGAGGACTCAGCTCTGTAACAGAGAGTAAGGTATGGAAAGGTTTGGGCAATACTAATATTTGCCTATCTTTTGAAGTAAGCAACAACTGTGTCCCTGAAGCTCACTAGGATTTGTGCTAAAACACAGGCGGACAACCATGGAAGGTTCAGGGACCATGACTGTCTCATTTGATTCGTACTATCTTCCTCACAAGAGCTATATTTGCTCATTTTCTTCAAAACTGAAGGTCCACGTGTTTAAAATGTACTGGTGGGGTAAGCATTTACAAGGGTTATCCAGAAAGTAAGGTTACAAGGTGCATCTTACAAATAAGGTTACAAGGTACAAGGAATTTTTGCAGGGGAAGTTGGTATCACTGCTATTTGCAGGAAGCCAGCAGAAGTGAACAAGCAGTGCCAGTAGTCAGTAGCTCATCAACTGGCCTTGTGGTGAAGGGTAGAGATGAGTGTCCTAATTCAGTTTCTCTCCTGTAATACGCTGTAATACGCTACCTAAATACTAAGGGCATGAACTCCGCTGCGATTCATCATGAGAAAATTGTGGTGTCAGTGTTTTGGGTCAGAAAAGGAGTTCCGCTCGTTCATTTTTTGGAAAGAAGTGACACAATCAATGCTGCAAAATATTGTGAGACCACGAAGAAACTTCACAGAGCCAAAACAAATGTTGTGGGACAGTGGGAGTCTTTCTCTTTCATGGCAATGTGCGTCCGCACACCGCTCATGCAACACCAGAGTTGTTGACTTCATTTGGTTGGGATGTTTTAAGCCACCCCTCTCACAGCCCCGATCTTGTACCCAGTGACAATCATCTGATCACTAAATTGAAGGAACACCTGGGTGGGAAACACTTTTCAAACAACAAGGTGAAAATCGAAGTGACAAACTGGCTGAAAAAGGTGGAGGGAGACTTCTATGACACAGGCATCAAAAAACGTATTCCACAGATGATAAAATGTATCGAACTGAACGGTAATTATGTGGAAAAATAATGTAATACTATAATGTAATGTAAATCCACATATGTTTTATTAAAATAGATTTATTCTTTGTATTTCAAAAAATCTTGTAAACTTACTTTCCGGACATGGAGAAGTAATTCTGTATATTTTGTTTTGAGTCAAAGGAGTGGCTATAGGGCTCTACAGAAGTGACTATAGGCCCCATCTACTCTGCATAATTACCTCCATTAAATTAAAAAAGAATATCTGCTGCTATCTCTAGCATTGACTTGAGATAGCAGCCAACAGAGCTAGGATGGGAATTTTTGCTGACCAGGTTAGGCCCAAGGCCCAATGTTATTTTATAGGATAGCTGTCAAGATATAGTAACTTCTCACATCACTAATCAAGCATCCTAAAAATACAGACATATCTCAGCTAATGAAATAGGCATGTTTGTGGACAGAGGAAAAAAAACACCCAGAAATGTGATACCAGAGACAGAAATAAAAAGGATGATAGATTTCTACACCATGAAAAGGTAGAGCAGTTCAATATATTTTACCAAACTTTTGTCCAAAATGCATAATATACACTTGTGGACTGAAACCAACTGATGAGTAAAACAAAATTAATTTTTATTGTTTTATTATTTATTGTTTTAATGATTGCTTATGTACTGCCTAATTATGATTTGTGCTTAATTGTGGTTTTATTATTGTAACTGTTATGGATTGGCATCGCGTCAGTGTCCAATGTAAGGCATTGAATTTTGCCAGCTATGTACCCCCTAGCGGTATATAAATACTGTAAATAATAATAATTCTAATGATCTAGAGACCACTCGGATCCTTCTTCCAAAACCCACTCCAAGATTATTTTTTCCTTCATCACCTTCCACTTTTCTGTTTTGGCGGTAAAACTTACATATCTATTCTTTTTTAATATACTGGAGGTAGTTGGTGAGGCAGGCTTATTTACTTTCCATTTTCCCTGATGTTCTATTCATGCATCTTCAGAAATAGTTTCTGGAGGCAGCTGCTATTCACATTGCCTATTGCAGTGGTTCTCAAGCTGTGGGTTCCCAGATGTTTTGGCCTTCAACTCCCAGAAATCCTAACAGCTGGTAAACCGGCTGGGATTTCTGGGAGTTGAAGGCCAAAACACCTGGGGATCCACAAGTTGAGAAACACTGGCCCTATTGTAAGCAGGCACACTTCCAATACAGTAGGGTCAACTAGAGTGGAATCCTATTCTGTTTCAGCTCAAGCTTTATTGCATTGTTTACTATAGACACACCATTGTAATCTGTAAACAAATGCTAGTGTTTTTTCAACCCACTTTCACCATCCTCCTAATGCTGATACTGCTAAAAAAAAAAACCTGCCAGCTTGACAGAGGAGGAAAAGTAAGGGGTTAGACAAGCATAAAATATTTTGTTAAAAGGAGGCTTTGTTAACTGAGGTATGAGTGCATTCATCAGTGCATCAACCCATCAACCAGGCAGCAAAAACCAGAGGCACTTTCTTTCAAAGTATGTGCTGCTATATACAGGGTTAGTCAAAATGAATAGGCCAATAAGAAAATTAATTTTAGACGAATGTATGTTTATTGTAACCAAACTACAGCTACGTAGCGACAGATAAACTATCAAAGTTTTGTCTCACCTTCAGAGATGTTCGATATGGGCGCCCCGTGTGACACGGCAGATGTCCAAGCGATAGTCCAGTTCATTCCACATCCGTTGCAGCACATCCGACGTAATGGCATCGAATGCAGCAACGTCTGGGAAGGTGTTCGTTGAGGTCCTAACCCTAACCCTAACCCTAACCCTATCCCTAACCCTAACCCTAACCCTATCCCTAACCCTATCCCTATCCCTAACCCTAACCCTAACCCTATCCCTAACCCTAACCCTTGAAATTCTCGCTGGACCGTAATTACTGACATTGTTTTAGCAAATGTCATCACACAAAACGCCTTCTCTTTGCTTGATTCCGCCATTTTGAAAACAGCGACCCCTAGCGACGCCTAGCGGCATTAACGTACATGTGTGTTGCTCAAAAAAAACTTTGATAGTTTATCTGTCGCTACGTAGCTGTGGTTTGGTTACAGTAAACATACATTCGTCTAAAATTAATTTTCTTATTGGCCTATTCATTTTGACTAACCCTGTATATTGAGAGGCAACCATAATTTAAATCCAGCCTTGTTCTGATTCCCCATTTTTGATATAGGTATTGCTGTATTCTGGTTATTACTCAGAACAAAAAGAGCAGCATGTTTCTCAATGCCGATTTAGTACCTTTTCTTTAAACCAATCTGGCACTTAATTCAAGTTATGTTCACACCAGAATGTACTGTGTTCCAACATGTTTGTATGATAGGTTCTACATGCTAAATGGAATTCCACATGCATTAATACAAACCTCTGCCAATATCGTTGAAAATTTATCTGTATTTGTTGCTTGCATTTGCATTTTCCTTTGGTACAACTGGAGCTCCTGTTGGTAGGATGGAAAGAGCTCTACAAGGTCTCTGTAAGCTTCATACTTCTCCGTTACCTCTTGCTTTATAATTGGAAAAAAAATTAAGCAGAATTTTAGTATCTAAATTTGCAACCAGTGCTTGGAAAGGGAGAGGGGGTTGGTTAAATCTGACATGTTTAGGCATTTTCTAAATGGTGGTAAATTATTTTTCCTGAAGAATATGATACTGAATTTATAGTTTTTTTTCTTATCTGTGTATAAGATTAAAGATTAAAATCAGAAAAAAATACCAACAAAGGACAAACTGTCATATCTGCATACTAATTCAATCATAATATTTTCATACTATATACAAAATCCACCCATCCCTTTATTTATATCCTGCCTTTCTCCCAGGCTAGACTCATTATACCTTACAAAAAGACAAAAATACAATTAAAACACTTTTTTTTGCACCAGGAGCAACTTGAGAAACTGCAAGTCACTTCTGGTGTGAGAGAATTTGCCTTCTGCAAGGACGTTGCCCCGGGAACACCCGGATGTTTTACCATCCTGTGGGAGGCTTCCCTCATATCCCTGCATGGGAAGCTGGAGCTGACAAGAGGAGCTCATCCCGCTCCCCAGAGCCCCGGTGGCACAGTGGGTTAAACCCCTGTGCCGGCAGGACTGAAGACCAATAGGTCGCAGGTTCGAATCCGGGGAGAGGCGGATGAGCTCCCTCTATCAGCTCCAGCTCCCCATGCGGGGACATGAGAGAAGCCTCCCAGAAGGATGATAAAAACATCAAATCATTCGGGCGTGCCCTGGGCAACGTCCTTGCAGATGGCCAATTCGCTCACACCAGAAGCGACTTGCAGTTTCTCAAGTCGCTCCTGACACAACAAAAAAAAAATCCCACTCCCCGGGTTCGAACTGCTGACCTTTTGGTCAGCAGTCCTGCTGGCACAAGGGTTTAACTCATGGTGCCACTGGGGGCTCCACAATTAAAACACATAGGAAGATTCTCTGTGTATGAAGTATCATCGCCTAAATAAGATGACCAAAAGATGGTAGTGTACACTGGCAACTTCTGTAATGTGCTGTACCATTCAGCTACGTTTACAAGAATTTTGGAAACTCCAATTAGTTCAAAATATAGTAGCAAATTGGTTACAGGTACATCCAGGAAGAAGAACATCATACCAATATTAATATCAGTCCGCTGGTGGTCAATCAGTTTTCAGGAAAAATAGAGTTGCTTATTAACTTTAAAGCCCTATTGGGTTTGGGTCCAAGTTTCCTGCAGGATTTCCTCCTCCCATACAATTTGCCCCATTCATTCAGGTGCTCTAAGAGAGGCTTATCCTGTCAATTTTGAATTTTGCATTTTACATGCTGTTAGTATTACAGTTTAACTTTTGTATTTGGTATGTTAATACATATTTTGAGTTTTTATATATGTACTTTATGGAAATGTGTTTTAACTATGCTGTACCCCAACTTAAGCTGTAAGGAGAGATGGGTAACAATGACAATATTACTCACTTCTGAAACTGGTAATAAATAAAGGTCCAAAGACAGCCTAGCAGCAAGTCTCACCTTCTCTCTCTTGAGTTTCTCAAGTGTCTGATTCAAACTATCTTTGCGGCGATCCAGCTCTTCTGGAGATTCTGTTATCTTTGACTTCAGTTGTTCTTGTTCTTCTTTTAGATTACATATGGTCAATTTTAGCTCATTCTAATTTACAAGAGACATAATGCAAAGCTCATCTTAATGTTACACCATTTTAGGTTTCTTGTCACAAAAAAATGTGTTGCTTAAACTAGTCTCACACACACAAGCCCAATCAATGTTTATGGAATCCCCTCTGATCAGTAAACAAATTAACTTGATTTGCCACGGTATCCAAAAAAAGACTTCCACTTTTCTGCAAATTCCTTGGAAAGCAGTAATAGGAGAATAATAGGTAGCTGTTTCATTTGTTTCTTAATTTTCAAATTCTAGGTCAAGTCTGAGAAATCATTTTCATTTCTGTGAAAGCTGTGTTACTCAAGACTTTATAGAGTACATACAGCTGAATTCAGTCACTTAAACCTTCAAATATTTGGGTTACTGTGAGTTTTTCAGGCTGTATGGCCATGTGCCAATAGCATTCTCTCCTGACATGTCACCCGCATCTGTGGCAAGCATCTTCAGAGGTTCTGTTGACAATGACACACACACACACACACACATATATATAAATAAATGTAATGTTCGTTTGTGGGATTAACATAACTCACAAACCACTGGATGAATTGACACCAAATTTGGACACAATACACCTATCAGGCCAACAAGTGGCCTTCACTCATAAAAATATTGGAAAACACAGCAGAAGAGACTTAAAAGACAAAAAAAACCAAAAAATACATTACAACGCATGCGCAAAACCACATATATGTTGGCATTTAGCGCAGAAGTTTTGTACAGGCTTGGTAGAAATCATGGACTCTAGAGACTTCTGGTTACAAAGCAGGTTCAATTTACTTAGAGCGGTCCATTCCAGTAAGCGACAAAACATGAAGAACACAATAGGCAGAACAAAGGAAGTAGAAGAGTAAACAATTCTGCAGCTGCTTGGCTGCTTGGCAGATATCAGATACTCCCTAATTTCTTTCACAACTCAGCTCAGAGAGTATCTCAGGGCTACTATCTCACAGCCTCAGACATAAACATACATCACAGCAATACAATCTTATGGCATCCATATTGCAACTACATGAAATTACATTTAAAACACATTACATACTTCAACATACTCTGACAATATATACACACATACACACACAAAACACATATACACAGACTAGGCCACAGCAACGTGTGGCAGGGGACGGCTAGTCTATATAAATAAAAATGTAATGTTAGTTTGTGGGATTAAAATAACTCAAAAACCACTGGACGAATTGACATCAAATTTGGACACAATACACCTAACAATCCAATGAGTATCCATCACCCCCTAAACACACACACACACAAAACTCCAGCGGAACAGACTTAAAAACCCCAAAATACACCATATATACATATACACATACACTCATATACATATACACATGCACACATTCATATACACGTGTGTGTGTATATATATATATATATGCACAAACACACACAAATATATACATATACACACATACATATACACACATATATACATATACACATGCATACACATATACATACACAAATATGCATATAAACAAGCAAACACATATACACAATATGCATGTAGACATACACACACACACACATATGCAAACACACATATATACACAAGTATATACACACACAAAACACATATGCACAGACTGGGCCAAAGCAACGCTTAGCAGGGGATGGCTAGTGTGTGTCTGTCTGTCTGTCTGTCTGTCTGTCTGTCTGTCTGTCTGTCTATCTATCTATCTATCTATCTATCTATCTATCTATCTATCTATCTATCTATCTGTGGAACATCCAGGATTGGATTAAAAACCCTTGTCTGTTGAAGCAAGTGTGAATATTGCAATTAGCGAGCTTGAATAGCATTGAGTAGCCAACAAGCTGCAAAGTCAATCACTCAGGGTATCTGCATAGGGAAGCTGTTAAAGAAACATAATCTACAGACCCACCAAGAAAATTCAACAAATGCTGTGTTCAACATGGCGAAAGAGGAATCCTCTAACCTCTGTAGGAGTCTACTGTATACCGTGCAGCTGTCTACATAGAGACCACACCCAGACACAAATCAAAGAACATGAAAAGCACTGCAGACAAATTCAACCAGAGAAGTCAGCTATAGCAGAGCACGTAATAAACCAACCTGGACACAGAATATTACTAATGAACACAGAAATTCTGGATCACTCTGACAACCATTATGTCAGACTACACAGAAAAGCCACTGAAATCCACAAGCACGTGGACAATTTCAACAGAAAGGATGAAACCATGAAAGTGAACATAATCTGGTTACCAGCATTTAAAAAAAAACACCACTATCAAGACAGTAAATAATGAACACCACTCATAAACAGGAGAACTCCAGACAATAAACAATCAAGAACCAGCTAACACCTTGCAAACAGAGGATGCCTCCAGGCAATAAAGCCCAGGCTATTTATTTATTTAAAACATTTATATTCCACCCTTCTCATCCCGAAGGGGATTCAGGGTGGAGCACAGCATATACACAGCAAACATTCAATGCCGGGACACAAATTCACATGCAATACATAAACATTAAAGAAATTTATCAAAATATTAAAATACACCATTTAAAGCCGTCCTAGTTATCCACGTCAAATCTATCTCTATGCAGAGACCCTCACTGACTGACTTTGCAGCTTCATGGCTACTCAATGCTATCCAAGCGTGCTAGTTACAACATTCCCACTTGCTTCAATAGAGAAGGGCTCTTTCTCCCATCCTGAACATTCCACAGATATATATGCATTCCACTTGCTACACTGCCAAGAGAACCTCTGAAGATGCTGGCCACAGATACAGGCGAAAAGTCAGGAGAGAATGCTTCCGGAACATGGCCATACAGACCAAAAAACTCACAGCAACCCAGTGATTCTGCCCATGAAAGCCTTCGACAACACTTCAAATATTTATTTTATAATTTAAGATGATATTGTATTGCACAGATTACACCGTAATTACATATTATTTTAATACATTATCTCAAGAGTGGATAAGGGCAGCACTTCTCATACTATCTGATGTGTGTCGGGAGGCAGCATTTTTCTCAATCTGCCAATGACTAGGATATTTTTACCATGGACCACAATTCTAAGTATCATTAGTTCAGGGGATTGAAAAGTGTTCTCAAAGCACCTAAATTACTAACTGCCTGTATTATTCCCATCAACAGAAATTCTGAGTTGGCAAATCTTAGAATCAAGGAGGTGGAAGAGACAAGTGCCATTCTGTTTAATTCCCTTCTGCCATGCCAGAACACACAAAGCAGGCCAGACAGATAGCCACTTAGATTTTGCTTAAAAACCTCCAGAGGAGGTCCCATCATGCTTCCAGGCAGCATATTCCACTGCCAAACAGCTCTTGCCATCAGGAAGTTCTTTCAGGTTTTTAGGTGGATCCTCTTTTCTTGCTATTTGAATCCATTGCTCCCTGTCCTAAATTCTACAGCAGCACAAAACAAGCTTGTTCACTCCTCAATATGACATCCTTTCCTATATTTAAACATTGTTATCATGTTGCCTCTCGTCTTAAGGGAATTTGAACATGGTACAAATATGGAGGTGGTTTCAAAACACTGCATATACATGACACCTACATCTTTTGCAAATCATGGTTATACTTAATTTTATTTTTCAAATCCTGTTGAGATCTACTTACTACTTTTTTGGTTTTTTCTGCAACTTCTGTTCTCTTTTGGTGGATCTCTTCTTGCAAATTACTCTATCAGAAAGAACAAGATTTTTGTCAGCTGAGACAAAAAAACCCACAAATTATTCTATTTTGTATTGTATTTTAACTTGATTTTTTCCCATCAAATGTTGTATTTCAGTTTATGCTGTCTTTTAAAAGAAAGCTACAGACAGAGGCAAAATGCTCATGAAGTGGCCATGGAAAGAATAAATGTAGACACTAGAATAAATATTGGCGCGAATAATAAGCTATAACAGTATTAACACGTAAAAAAATGTTGATTGAGATTATCATCATCATCTCATTTTTCATTTATATGCCGTCTTTTTTTCTATTTATATGCCGTCTTTTTTTCAACTGCCTTGCTGGAATGCAAGGCAGTTGAAAAAAATAAAACAGTACAATATGGCCAAAAACATGAACAAGAACATGCCCACCCTGGCAATTTGAAAGCCAGTGATACTACTCCATGTTAGCAAACCTGGGAGAATGCTGAACAGAAGAAGAAGAAGAACTTTATTTTTCTACCTCGCCTCCATCTCCCCGAAGGGACTCTGGGTGGCTTACATGGGGCTCAAGCCCAAGGCAGAATACAATTAAAAACAAAGCAAAAACAATTATGACAGCATGAAACAGCGTAAAACAACATAACAATAATAGCTAGCAACAATAACTGCAAACTAATTTTGGAGGGTGGGGGGAGGAAAGACCACTACATGAACTAATTAAAGGATAAGTGGTTTAGTAAGGTGGATAACAATGTAGAACAGCAAAGGAAGGGACAAGGAATAAGCTCTTCCTTGAATAAGAATACTATCAAAACCTTCCTACAACTTGCAACTGTATATACTTTCAAATATCCTGAGTAAGACATGGACTGTACTGATCCACAAAGTAACAGTAATTCAGAGGTCAATATTTCCAATGTTAAGATACTACCTATTGGAGAGAAAATGCTAGACTAGACTAACTTTCTGTATTAAATGGATTTCAAGACACACACCGCTTTCTGTCGATAATCTTGGTTGAGTTTTTGCTGCAGCTCCTGAATATCTTGAGATAGTTCCTTGAATTCTTCTTCTTGATCTGGAGGAACAGTACTAATTGCGCAAAAAAATAAAATCACTATGTGCACAGAAGCACATACCTACACTTTAATTATTCTTTCCCTTATTAGAAAAACTCACTTTTTAATGGATTTTTCTTACAATTGGCAGAAACAACACAAATACATTTCCTCTAAAGTCCCATATTGTTTTGCATTACCAAGAAAACTGATACCACCTTCTGCATTTCTTGGAAGCAAAAACGAACAATTTCTTTAAATACAATGTATGCAGATCTCATGTGGATAAGTTGCATAACTTTAGCTACAATTGTATGAGTGGTCAACTGTGTTCTTACACAATTGGGTTTTGTACCTGCACACACCCATTCACAAAATGTTCCAGAACTCATTAGATTTTGGTGGGAACCCCACTCCTTTTGGACACTAGCATAAAGAGTGGCAACAGGTACTTCCCTCAGTTGGGGCAGCAGATCTGCAGAAAACCACTCAAAGAACTAGTTACAAGGTGGCAACCTATTCTTTTTCTTTATAGCGCACCTACACCTGTATGCCTTGTTGGACAATTGATCCCAGCTGGGGACAGAGTATAGAGAGGCCACAGTGGCCATGAAAAGGCTGGTGGGAAGGCCAGATGGAGGGGTGCGGCTTCCCACCAGCCTTTTCACTCTATGAGTCTCATGACCTTGCTCTCAAATTAGTTTTGATAATGGAACAGCGAAAGAACTGAACTAGACAGTAAATGATAAAGGTTATTTTCAGAATCTAATCAATAAACAGCTTACTCAAATTTCTGCAGCTTTGTTGTTGCTTCCTTGACTGCCATCTCAAGTCGCTGCTCTTTCTCCATAGCTGATTTCTGGAAAGAAAACAATTTGCATAATAGACAACTCAAATGATCATAAATTGTAGGGGGGATAGGGAAATATGATGTATATATTCAGTTTATCATACATATTTACTGTATTATTACAGGTGCCTTATTTAACTTACTACATCGTTTTATTAAGTTGTATCAAGCTTTGTTGTTTGATTCGGTTTGGTGATATGGCCAAAGGGCTAATTAATTTAATGAAGATTGAAAGTTGTGTTTATGATGTTAAAAACTTACGTATGTGTTCTCGATACTTAAGTAAACATCAAGACGTGATTCACGGAAGGAAAGAAAATTAATTATGCCACTCAAAAAACGAGCTGTCCTCTTTGCTTCTAAAACACAAAATAAAATGTTGTCAGGAGACTGATTTGCTAACTCAGAAGAGTATAGAGGTTGAACTCAAATTGGAAGAATAGTAAGTGTTGTACGATAACTCATAAATCTATAAATAATAATAATAATAATAATAATAATAATAATAATAATTTATTTATACCTCGCTCCATCTCCCCCAGGGGGACTCGGTGCGGCTTATATGAGGCCACGCCCAACAATACAGTTAACACAATATAACACAAAAGCATAACAAAACCAGAAAATAAAATACATAAAATGCAAAACCAATAAAATAAACAAACAGCAAAAGCAAATCAAACATTAAAACACAGAGGATTAGGCTGGGCAGGACCAAATTCACTAAACTATTTAGTCTTTGTATTCCACAATACACATTTGCTTTTCAGAAAAGATATACGGTAACCTGGCCACAATTTTTACATGCATGCCTAGTGGCATACCAAGATATCAAAGGGACCAATCTATGTTACATGAGACCTGACATCCCTTTTCCAAACAGGAATGTAACACAGCCATTCAGATGTAGCAATATAAAATAAGGAAGCTAGTTATTATCCTTTCACATATGAAATTTTGCTTGTCTCTGCCTCTTTTTATTCTCAGAAGTCTAATTTAGCCACCAAATTAAGGCAAAATGCTCTTGCATATCACATTTACTAGATAATTTGGAGTCAATCTGAAATTGCTATAAATCATGCAAAGAAATACAAAAGAAAATCCCAGTTAACTTTCTATTCATTTTGTATTAAATATCTTTTAAAACATTGAAGATATTCAAATTCAAAATAGTGGTCTAAAAATGCATCAATTTCATAGCTACCAATCCTGAAATTTTCCATTGATGTCTGAAAGAAGAATGTTATTTCAAACATTCTTTTCACTTCATATAGAAAAGAATTTTTCAACCTGGGTGTCGGGACCGCTGGGGGGGGGGGGGATTGCAAGGGGGCTTCAGAGGGGTTGCCAGAGACTATCGGAAAACATATACTTGTGATGGTATTAGGAACCCCTTTGGCAGAGAAGGCTGAAGATCTTTCTGCCTGTCCTTCTCTTCCTTTTTGGAAACAGATTCCAAATCCTCCCACCAAAAGTCCTCCTCCAGTGTGATTGGCAGCCCTCTCAGTTTGGCCCAATTCTATCGCTGGTGGGGTTCAGAATGCTCTTTGATTGTAGGGGAACTATAAATCCCAGCAACTACAACTCCCAAATGTCAAGGTCTATTTTCCCCAAACTCCACCAGTATTCACAACTGGGCATATTGAGTATTCGCACCAAGTTTGGTCCAGATCTCTCATTGTTTGAGTCCACAGTGCTCTCTGGATTTTCGTGAACTACAACTCCAAAACTCAAGGTCAATGCCCACCAAACTCTTCCAGTATTTTCTGTTGGTCACAGAAGTTCTATGTGCCAAGTTTGGTTCAATTCAATCATTGCTGGAGATCAGAATGCTCTTTGATTGTAGGTGAACTATAAATCCCAGCAATTACAACGCCCAAATGGCAAAATCAACCCTGCCCCAACCCCATCAGTATTCAAATTTGGGCATATTGTGTATTTGTGCCAGTGAATGAAAATACATCCTGAATATTAGATATTTACATTACGATTCATAACTGTAGCAAAATTACAGTTATGAAGTAGCAATGTAAATAATGTTATGGTTGGGGGTCACCACAACATGAGAAACTGTATTAAGGGGTCGAGGCATTAGGAAGGTTGAGAAACACCGATATAGAAGATAGGGGACTATAAAGTAATCAAACAGCAACAGGAGTCAAAAGCATTACAGAAACCTGTGCCCTAAAATGAATGCCAGTCTTGCATAATTTATAGTTTTTTCATAGGATTTCCATGAAGATAAGATAGGCAGGATAAGAGTTTTCCTTTAAGGTAAAATAGATGTGATGTGTTTATGCAATGTGTAATGTCCTTCCTTGTACTGCGGTATGATTGCTACTCCAGCATAGCTAGGAAGCTTAACTGCAACAGCAAATTGTTAAAACTAAGAGCAAAGCAGGTTTGTTTGCATCAATTGTTGCCTTCAGCAACATTGACAGCAGAAGGAATTCTCAACCATGTAAACTGTGAATTCGTCCTTGGCAACAACTAATATAAGGGAAAATTTAAAACGAGATACAACACATCTGAACACAAAGGTCAAGTTAATGCTTACTTGGATTTAAGACATCAGCAAACTGGAAGTCATGGACACGGCAGAATGGTAAAAATCGTTCCCTGTTGAAGTTGGAGAAAAACATTTCTTATTTTGGAAATACACTTCTTGCACCATTTATTTTCCTGTTACTGCACAAGTGAATGAGTATTTCTGATGTTTCACAAGACACAAGAACAAATCATCCTAACTAATGTGGTTTTGTGCAAGTGTATATGTGTCTTGAAGTCACCTGTAAGCAAGGAATATTCAGAGGTGATTTGACCATCTCCTTTCTCTCAAATGCAGCCTTCATAACATGAAGTCTATCTGACAAGATCTGGTGTCTATATACTACTCAGCAAATGCATTATAGATTGCAGGTTTAATCAGATGAGTGAAATATCTTGAATTAGATCAATCAGTTTTAGCTTTAAACAATTGCAGCAACACCAGAGGCACTCCAAGTTGCCAGCTACTGGTCAAAGGACATTTAATCAACTACCAAGCTTGCAAACTTTGTGTTCTCTTTGTTTTGTTTGTTAAAAATGCAATGCAATTTGTTTGGCCTGCCCCTGACACAATAAATAACTAAGCTTTAAACAATTAGATCATGTTTTTATCTTTCAACATGCAACATGCACATTTCAACATCTAATCTTTTACCCATATTGGACAGACCCAATTTCATTAAAGGAAATGTTAGATGCAATTTGGGGGGGGGGGGGGGGGAGGCAAAACATCATGGGTCCAGGATGGCTAATCAGCAATGTATTAAAAGTGTTTCAAGAAAGAATTGTGCAGACCATTCAAACAAACATTTACTTCAATTCTAAAAGGGAAAAAAACAGAAACAAAAGATGAAATAATAACGTTAATACCAAAAGAAGGTCAAGGTTTGATGAGAGTGGGCATTCACAGACCTAACTCCCTGTTAAATAACAACTATACACTATTTAAGTTCATTTTTGCGGAAAGACTCAGAAAGGTGCTTCAAGAATGGATTTATCAAGACCAAAATGGCTTTCTACCTCAGAGACAGTTGAGAAGTAACATGAAGCAAATCTAGAATATTTGGAGCAACCTTAATAAAAGGCCAGCGATATTAATCTTACTGGATGCCCAAAGTGTTGGATAAACTGAACTGGAAATTGTTCATTATAGAAAAGAAAAATAATGTGACCAATTACAGAGCAAGGACAAAATCAATGGACAATACCCAATTTGCAAATTTCTAGTAAATGCATGAGTTTAACAAACCCATGCAAAAATCCAAAAGGTAATAAGACAAGGCTACTCACTTTCCCTGCTATTGTTGATCCTACTCAGTGGAAATTTTTAGGAGTACAGACAATTGCAGGAAATATATAAAATAGATTTAAAATTATTTTGGTTTTGAACAAAAAAAGAAATGGTTTTGAGGTATAATTACATGGCAATGATGACATTTAATAGAAGAAAAAGTCATTAAAGAAAGCATAATTAAGTGGGCACCTAATTTTGGCTATAATATAAAATTAGAGAAATAGAAAAGGTGTGGCAGAAGGAATTATAATTAAACTTTCAATATTCTTAAAGAGCATTTTTACAAAATGTTTAGATGCATATAATTCCCCTCTATCCAAAATATTAAGGAAGTATAAATAAATGAACAAAAGATAAATGTGAAGTTCATGAAAGGTCAGGATATACTACCATATATAGTGGACATGTACAAAGGTTTTAAAAAGTGGAGACAAGTTCATAGAGTAATCCAAGAAATTCTTTAAAAAATAAATTTCAAGAGAACTCTTATCACAAGGACTACTGGAAAATGAGAGGATACTGCAGTACAGTAAATGTTAATAACAGCAAAAATTATATATGCTCAATGATGGAAAAAGAAAGAAATACAATGAAAGAACACTGAGCAGTGAAGACGTGGAAACTAATAGAAATGGACAACCTAACAACTTTGTTAAAGGTTAAATCACTAAACACATTCTTAGAATAATGGAAATCTTTCTATGAATATATATTTGAGTGAGAGGACTTAGTTTACAGTTTGGAGATCTATTGGGACATTAATTTATTAATGCAAAAACAAGCAGAAATAAATAACTTGCTGGATATAATATGGTAGAATAATGTTGACCTGCAAAAAAAAAAATGAAAAAAGGGATGCAGAAAATCTTCTTTTAAACCTAATGTATATCTTTATATATTAGATTTACATTAGATAGAGGTGAGATGCATATTATGTAAATGCTGTTTCAGTATGTTTATATGTATTTATAGGCATTGCTGTTTTCTGTGTTGTCCAACACTTAGTTGTTTTCTTTATTTGCATCTTTTTTTAAAAATGAGTATAAAAAGAGGAAGGAAACACGAGAATACTCTACTTCCAAATTCAGCTATGTGCATGACAGATTTAAGCAAAAATATATATCTCATATTTCCATTATCACCCAATTGCCCGAGTGGTTTCTAACACATTGAAAACAATTACAAAAAATCACTTAATAAAATAAAATTAATTACATAGCATAAATACAGGTTAGGAACTCAAGCTACAGATAATTTTTGGAACAAACATGTCTTGACTTGGTAGGACAATGCCAAGAGAAAAGATCCCAAATTGAGCTTCTGAAGCAGTGATTCGTAGTCTAATAATATATGCAAGAGATAAAGCATTTCTCACCAAAACAAGAATGCATTGATCTGTGTAAAATAAGCTACATTTTTTCTGTTACATAGAAATTTCCATTACAAACCAAGTAAAAGAACATGAGAAAATTACTGCACATAATAAAAATTCAAGACTCACATATAAATAAACAGATTCGCTATGGGTAGGAAGCCTTCAAAAAGCTGAGGATATGCAGTTTCGAATGTCATTGGAATCTAAGAAAAAAAGTATATAGTGAATGAAGAAGGTGTTTACATGCTTTCTCCAGTCAATTCTTTGGGGATACAAATGAAGATGTTTGTGGCCTTGGAGGGCCACATCCTGCCCATGGCCTTAGTTTGGGGACCCATGGACTAGAACAATTATGCTGCATTATGGAGGGAACATGGACCAGAATTGCAACAGCAATTGAGTTAACAAACTCCCACTGATGTAGTTGGAACTGGCCCTAGGCCTTAGTCCTGAAGATGACACAAGATTCTTCACTGACAGTGACTGTATGATCCATTTTTAGTCTGGATTCAGCAGTTTTGTCTTAGTGTATACTTACCATGCAGAAATCTTCTTGACGGATTCCATACACACTTTGTAAGACTCTCATGAAGATCATCTGCAGCAGTTCAGGCTACAAAAGGAAGAAACACCAACTTACAAAAACAAACCACATTATTGTCACATTTTATCACCAATTATTCTAATATTTTATCATTTAAAATGTCTCTGCTAGTTGAATTCACTAGCAGAGACATTTTACCAATTTTAAAACAATAACATCTTCATAAACTGTGGCTTCAATTAAACATCCTGTAAAACGAAGGAGGGGACAATCTTACTACCCAATAAAGCTATCTGAAAAAAATACTGAAGGGGTACAATACAACACTTTATTACAGTCACTGACCAGTACAAAGCAGGGCACAAGAACCCTGGAAAGGGGAAACACAGCTCCCCAGTGAAAAAGTTATTTTAAAAAATAATAATAGATAAAACAGTTTAAAATCACAGTTTAAAAAAACAGGTTTTTGAAGGGGTAGAGTATTTAGAATGTTCCATTTTCCCGGAACAGCTCAGAAAAACAAGAATGTCTTCAAAAAAATTAATAAGGCTCTAGGGCTACATGGATTTTCAAATAACTATTTGTATAAGTAACTCTTTCAAAATCATTACACAATCCAACAAAAAAGTCTTCATGTCTTGGTTTTTAGGCCTGTTCCTGGGATTATTTGGGGTTCCCGATTCAGAAAATTGTATTACACAGACTGCAAGCTCATTTTTGAGATATGGTTATAATAGTTTTCTATGGGCAAGCAGATGACAATTGGTAGGATACTAGAGACAAAGTTGAAGTACTTTGGCCACATCATGAGGAGACAGCAAAGCCTAGAGAAGACAATTATCCTGGGGAAAGTGGAAGGTAAAAGGAAGAGGGGCCGACCAAGGGCAAGATGGATGGATGGCATCTTTGAAGTGACTGGACTGACCTTGAAGGAGCTGGGGGTGGTGATGGCTGACAGGGAGCTCTGGTGTGGGATGGTCCATGAGGTCACGAAGAGTCGGAGACGACTGAACGAATGAACAGCAACAACAACAACTACTGCCTCGCTTTAACTACCATGACTAAAGGCTAGGGAATGCAGGGACCTGTAGGTTTGGCCTTCTCTGTCTGAGTGATGGTGCTAAAGGCCTTGTAAAACTACAAATCCCACAATTCTATAGCATTGAGCCATGACAGTTAATGTACTGTTAAACTGCATGAATTCTACAATGAAATGCACTCATGGGCATAATCACTACCAAAGATTCTTGTACCAATTTGGGGAGGAGGTGTTGCTTATGTAAGTGAAATATGTGTGGCTCCAGTACTAAATTTCCTATATACATCAAGTGCCAACAATCCAACAATTACAGTATTAACATGTCAAAATACAGAAAAGTTCAGCCATTGAACCAATACATGGTTTTTAATCATTCTATTCTATTTAAGCTTACAAACCAGAGACCCAGGACTTTTGTCACAGATTTTTAAAGGGATGGTTTGGCAGAATGTGGGAGTGCAGAGCAGCATAACCATATTTTAAAGAACAAACAGATTGGATTGCTGTGAATTTTCGGGCTGTGTGGCCATGTTTCAGAAGAATTCTCTCCTGAAGTTTTGCCTGCATCTATGGCAGGCATCCACAGAGGTTTGCTCAGAGGTCTGTCGGAAATGAGGCAAGTGGAGTATGTGTATGTGTGTGTGTAAATATATCTGTGGAATGTTCAGAAAGATTTGCTATCACTCATAACTGCTGTTGTTAAACTCAGTAATTTGTAGTTTATACATTATGTAGGGAAACTCAAATGAGATACACCAACGCGCTGAGCTTCAATTTCACCACTTCATTAAAGTCTTTAACAATCAGCCCTTACCTTAGCATTTGGAAATAAATCAGTTTTGGAAAAGTTTTTAGCCTCAGTTCCAGTTAGCAAGAAGTTGCGTACATGTACAATAATTTCACTTTCATTGTATCTGGGAAAAGTACAGTGATCCATTCTGTAAGGGAACAAAACATTAAGCACAGGGTATTAGACAATGACCTCATACTACCACATTCTCCTCCATTTAGGATTAACTAAGGAAGGGGAAAGAAAGTCCACTTTGGGAATGAATAACCACCATCCAATTGGGTATGGTAGGAATAAACGGATCAGCACCTTAGACCCCATCTACACTGCCACAAAATGCATAATGCTTCATAATGCAGTTTAACTGAATTGAACAGCAATATATTGCCATACAGACTCATGTAATGCAGTTAAACTGCATTACATGTCAGTGTAGATAAGCTGGTTGCTGTGAGTTTTTTGGGCTGTATGGCCATGTTCCAGTAGCATTCTTTCCTGAAGTTTTGCCTGCATCTGTGGCCTCTGACAAAATATTGGAGAATGCTTGCCACAGATGCATGCAAAATATCAGTAGACAATGCTACTGAAGCATGGCCATACAACCCAAAAAACTTACAGCAACCCAGCATTTCCAGCCATGAAAGCCTTTAACAATACAGTGTAGATATTAGTGACATTGACAAAGTAAGCAAACAATATACCCTCCACACTTCTAATATAAAACTGTCTACAACAGTGTAAAGGAGGGATCCTCAAACTAAGGCCCGGGGGACAGATACGGCCCTCCAAGGTCATTTACCTGGCCCTCGCTCAGGGTCAACCTAAGTCTGAAACGACTTGAAAGCACACAACAACAACAATCCTATCTCATCAGACAAAAGAGGCCCACACTTCCCATTGAAATACTAGTAAGTTTATATTTATTTAAATTGTTCATTTCAATTATTGCATTGCTTTTAACTGTTTTTTGCACTACAAATAAGATATGTGCAGTGCGCATTGGAATTCATTCATGTTGTTTTTTCCAAATTATAATCAAGCCCTCCAACAGTATGAGGGACTGTGACCTGGCCCTCTGTTTAAAAGGTTTGAGGACCCCTGGTGTAAAGACTAGAACCAAGGAGAATCTGAGGTCTCTTCCACACAGCTGTATAAAACCCACATTGTTTTATGTATTTATTTATTTATTTATTTGGGGAATTTCTATGCCATCTTTCTCCATATGGGCTCAAGGTGGCTCACAACATCATTAAAATAAGCTTACTTAAAATAAGCAATGTAACATAAACCATTGGAGGGGATTAGATGGCAGTCTAGACTCAACCTTAAGAAATGGGGCTACAAAATGGAATCCACAACATGTGAGTGTGGAGAAGAGTAAACCACTGACCACCTGCTGCCATGCAACCTGAGCCCTGCCACATGCACAATGGAGGACTTTCTTATAGTAACACCAGAGGCACTCCAAGTGGCCAGATACTGGTCAAAGGACATTTAATCAACTACAAAACTTGCAAACGGTGTGTTTTGTTTGTTTTAAAAAAATGAAATTTATTTTTTATTTTATTTATCGTGTCATCAACAACCATACCACTGTATTACATTTCTAACAGAACAAAACAAACACACAGATTTAAAAAAAACCCACAGATTTTGCAAACTTGGTAGCTGATTAAATGTCCTTTGACCGGTATCTGGCCACTTGGAGTGCCTCTGGTGTTGCCACAAGAAGGTCCTCCATTGTGCATGTGGCAGGGCTCAGGGTGCATTGCAGCAGGTGGTCAGTGGTTTGCTCTTCTCCGCACTCGCATGTCGTGGATTCCACTTTGTAGCCCCATTTCTTAAGGTTGGCTCTGCATCTCGTGGTGCCAGAGCGCAGTCTGTTCAGCGCCTTCCAAGTCGCCCAGTCTTCTGTGTGCCCAGGGGAGAGTCTCTCATCTGGTATCACCCATGGATTGAGGTGCTGGGTTTGGGCCTGCCACTTTTGGACTCTCGCTTGCTGAGGTGTTCCTCAGAAGCAACCAGAAAAAATGAAATACAACTGTTTGGTTTGCTCCTGACATGATAAATAAATACTTAGGGAATCACCTAAGTAAGAAAGTAAGTAAAGCAATAGTCCAGTTCAAAGCAGATAATGTGGGATGCTATTCAGCTGTGTGGAAGGAGCCCCTAGTCCAGTGGTTCTCAACCTGTGGGATGTTTTGGCCTTCAACTCTCAGAAATCCTAACAGCTGGTAAACTGGCTGGGATTTTGGGAGTTGTAGGCCAAAACACCTGGAGACTCACAGGTTGGGAACCACTGTCCTAGTCAGTTTTAATTTTCACAGAATACCGATGTGATTTCAGCCTCGCGTTGAAAAAAAGGAAGTGTACATGTTAAGCAAGCCAAGAAAGCAAATGACAAAGCACACCTGTCCCTCCAGCCAGGCTCCTTCCCTCTCACTGGCTTCTTCCTCAGAAGAGACTCTTCCTCACTGCTTCGCGCAGCAACCAAACCTTCCAAAGCAGAGCAGTTGAAATTGGCGGGAGCACCTCCTCTTCCGGCAACAAGCGCTGACGTCACGCCAGGCCCGCCTGCCCGCTGGCCGAGCAGCTTCGGACTGAGCTCGGGTGTTTCCGCCTCTTGGGTCGCTCGCTCGCTTCCGGGTGTGAGGGGCGCCTCTCGAGAAGGTGCGCCCGCCGGAAAGATGTCCTCTGGAGATGAAGCCTCTAGGCCAACAGGAAGTGGGTAGCAAACCCGTAGCCTCAGGTTTCCAATGCGTATTTTCAAGAGGAAAAGTGCAGGCAGTCTCCAAGTTACGAACAAGATCGGTTCTAGAGGTTTGGTATTCTCTTGAATGTGTAAGTCGGTACAGGTACTTCTTACAGAGTACCTCCAGCCATAGTTACATAGCATATATATATATATGCACACACAGATATACACACACACACACACACACACACATATATATAGTATCCAATAAACTGGTACTTTTCTAAGTGTAACTCCAGCCAAATGTATTCTATTCTATCCAAACCCCAGCCAAATATATCATAAGCTATATATATATATATATATATATACACACACACACACACACATACTCATACACACATCTTCTCTCTATATATAAAAATGCTCTGTGCATAATGAGTACCTTAAAAACAAAAGAACTAATTAACAAAATCACCAAATCTGACAACAAAACGTCATACAACACAAGGAGTGACCATCACTCAAAAAATTATGATTTTGTCATTTGGGATTTGTAGTTGCTGGGATTTATAGTTCACCTACAATCAAAGAACATTCTGAACTCCAGCAGTGATGGAATTGAACCAAACTTGGCACACAGAACTCCCATGTTGTTGTTCATTCGTTCAGTCGTCTCCGACTCTTCGTGACCTCATGGACCAGTCCACGCCAGAGCTCCCTGTCGGCCGTCACAACCCCCAGCTCCTTCAAGGTCAGTCCAGTCACCTCAAGCATGCCATCCATCCATCTTGCCCTTGGTCAGCCCCTCTTCCTTTTGCCTTCCACTTTCCCCAGCATAATTGTCTTCTCTAGGCTTTGCTGTCTTCTCATGATGTGACCAAAGTACTTCAACTTTGTCTCTAGTATCCTTCCCTCCAGTGAGCAGTCGGGCTTTATTTCCTGGAGGATGGACTGGCTGGATCTTCTCACAGTCCAAGGCACTCTCATCACTTGCAGAACACATACAGAACTCCCATGACCAACAGAAAATACTAGCAGGGTTTGGTGGGCATTGAGCTTGTGTATGGGAGTTGTAGTTCACCTACATCCAGACAGCACTGTGGACTCAATCAATGATGGATCTGGACCAAACTTGGCACAAATATTCCATATGCCCAAATATGAACACAGGTGGAGTTTGGGGAAAATAGACCTTGACATTTGGGATTTGTAGTTATTGGGATTTATAGTTCACCTACAATCAAAGAGCATTCTGAACTCCACCAATGATGGAATTGAATCAAACATGGCATACAGGACTTCCATGACCAACAGAACACACTGGAAGGGTTTGGTGGGCATTGATCTTGAGTTTGAGAGTTGTTCACCTGCATCCAGAGAGCACTGTGGACTCAAACAATGATGGATCTGGACCAAACTTGACACGACTATTCCATATGCCCAAATATGAACACAGATGGAGTTTGGAGGAAATAGACCTTGACATTTGGGATTTGTACTTACTGGGATTCACAGTTCATCTACAATCAAAGAGCATTCTGAACCCCACAAACGACAGAATCAGGATAAACTTCCCACACAGAGACCCCCATAACCAACAGAAAAAACTTAAGGCCTTCTGATCCCAGGCATCAGGGCAAGAAAACGTAATCAGAGTCCTCCTGACAAAGAGCCATCCAGCCATAGATAGATAGATAGAGGGAGTTGTAGTTGCTGGGATTTATAGTTCACCTACAATCAAATAGCATGATAGGATTGAACCAACTGGGGCATACAGGACTCCCATGACCAACAGAAAACACTAGAAGGGTTTGGTGAGCACTGACCTTGAGTTTGGGAGTTGTAGTTCACTTACATCCAGAGAGCACTGTGGACTCAAACAATGATGGATCTGGACCAAACCTGCCCCAAGAACTCAATACGCCCAAATATGAACACAGATGGGGTTTGGGGAAAATAGACCTTGACATTTGGGATTTGTAGTTATTAGGATTTATAGTTCACCTACAATCAAAGAGCATTCTGAATCCCACCAATGACAGAAGTGAGGCAAATTTCCCACACAGAACCTCAATGACCAACAGAAAATACTTAAGGCCATCCAGTCCAACTCTCTTCACCAGGGCAAGAAAATGTAATCAGAGCCCTCCTGACAAAAAGCCATCCAGCCATAGATAGATAGATATAGATAGATATGATTCACACACACACACACACATAGTATCATAGATTTGAAAGAGACCCCTAAAGAAGGACTATGATGTGTTGCATATTCCAGGGTGGGCAAACCAGACACTCTCCACATTAACACTGACAAAGAAACAGCAAGAAATACTGTTTACCCTCAAGCATAAAGAAATTACATACGTATATTACAAACCAACACTTTTTCATTACTTTATTTTCCAGATCACCAGACTGGGCCACAGCAACGCGTGGCAGGGGACAGCTAGTATGTGTATGTGTGTGTGTGTATATATATATATATATATATATATATATATATATATATATGTGTGTGTGTGTGTGTGTGTGTGTGTGTGTGTGTGTATATATATACACATACATACATACACAGACACACATATATATATAGATGTGTGTGTATGGTACTTTTAAAGTGTAACTCCAGCCAAATATATCATATGCTATCCAAAGCTTCCATAATATATGTATATGTATGTATGTGTGTGTGTATATATATATATTGGTACTTTTCTAACCTTGAGTTTTGGAGTTGTAGTTCACCTACATCCAGAGAGCACTATGGATTAAAACAATGAAGGATCTAGTCCAAATTTGGCATGAATACTCCATATACCCAAATATAAACACAGATGGAGTTGTAGTTACTGGAATTTATAGTTAACCTACAATCAAAGAGCATTCTGAACCCCACCAATTGGAATTGGGCCAAACCTCCCACACAGAACCCCATGACTAACAGAAAATACTGTGTTTTTGGGTGGTCTTTGGCAATGTTTCTGACACCCCCTCACGACCGCCCCCCCCCAGGGGTCCCAACCCCCAGATTAAGAAATGCTGCCTTAAGGCCATCCAATCCAACTCACTTCACCGGGGCACGAAAACATAATCAAAGCCCTCCTGACAAAGAGCCATCCAGCCATACATATAGATATATATGATTCATAAGCACACATATATATGTATATGACAGGTATAGCATCATAGATTTGAAAGGGACCCCTAAAGAAGGACAATGATAAGTTGCATGTTCCAGAGTACGCAAACCACACAATCCCTCCATCAACACTGACAAGGAAACAACAAGAAATACTGTTTCCCACAAGCAGAAAGAAATTACATATATTAGAAACCAACACTTTCTCATTACTTTTATTTTCCAGATCACCAGACTGAGCCACAGCAATGCGTGGCAGGGGACAGCTTGTGTGTGTGTGTGTGTGTGTGTATAAAATCCAAACATCAGCCAGATATGCTATCACAGCAAGAGCACTCTGAACTCCACCGATGATGGACCTGGATCTAACTTGGCATACAGACCATCCGAACCTACTGGAGGGGGGGGGGGGGTTTGAGGGGACTGCTCCACCGTGGTGGGAATTGTAGTTCATCCTGCAACCAGAGAGCACACTGAACCCTACCGATGACACTTCTAGAGTAAACTTGCGCCATTACATATGTTTGCTTTACATATGTTTAATCATAGCTCTGGTCCTAGTTAATAGCCCAAAATATTATTATAGCCCAGAAGCCCAAAGTAACTATCTGACATGGGTTAATGGTTAGGCAAAGAATTTAGTTATCTTTGCATCCCACCAGTTAAGGGGAAAGAGCACGTGTGTATCCCTTAACTGCGTTCCTTTGTGACCTGGGGGTGGGGGTTGCATGGACTTTTCGTATTTCAAATCTCTGATCTTAATATTAATGCTTTAAAAAAAAAACCTCTGTGACTATAATAATTCAATTCATTCATTCTTCGTGACAGAAGATAAAATCCTGTACTGTGCAACCTACAAGGTTATGAACTGGATAGGAATTGCTGCTGAAATGTGACAGCCACTGCAAAGTTTTTTTTGTACTGTAGGTGCTGCCAAAATTTACAACACTGATTTTGTGTCATACACATGGATTAAAAAAGACCCTTCTGATGCCATAGGACCCTATGAGACCATGAAATAAAACATTTCACAGGACCGAGAAGCATACAGAAAAGTGTTCTGCTTACATGACAGCTGTTGCGGGAGGTCTGCAAAAAGTAATGAAAGGGCTGCATGTGCTGTCGCGCGCTGGGCCTAGGACAATGTCTGTTTACAAGACGTGCTTTCTGTATGCCCAACAGTACGCCGGGGTGCCTCAGCTAAAGGGTCCCATAGGTTTCCCAACACAAAGTTCTGTAGAGGCTCAAAATAGGTTCAACAAAGTTCTTTATTAAGGCTTAAATCTTTGAACAAATGAATTAAATGCTTTATAATCTTGGAAAAACTAGTAGCTTTCTCAATCTGCCAACAAGGGACAGGCAACTGCTTGATAAACTGTTCCTATCTTCTTTAGGGAAACCTTCCAACCCCTCCTTGGGCAATCTTTCTTTACCCTGCTGGCGTGAGGCCCCAACTCCCGGCTCTAAGCTGCATTATGGATAGCCTGAATGGTCCCTTACCAGGCAATGGTTGCTGTAGATCTGTCAAGCTGGTGTCCTGTAGATTTGCCCCACGAATGTCGTGGAACCATTCCTCTATTTTCTAGCAAAGCTGGCTATATTCCCCAAGCAAAGCTGTGAAACTGTAACTTTACTCCCCAGCAAAGCTGTAGAGGTTTTCCCTTTCCCCCAGCAA